TGGTTGAATGTCGGTTTCCTCTTCATTCTTGCTTTTTTTTTCTCCCTCATCTAAAGCTTTCCCTGCCTCGGTCCTTGCAGCTGGCTGAGCTGCTCCTGGCCCCATGTGGCTTACTCCTGGGCCTTCCCTCAGGGGCCTGGTAACTGCAGATAGGCTGTTTCTGAAGAACCAGGGCAGCCCCTCTAGAAGTTTGTTGGCAGGAGACTTTGTTTTGCTTTGCTTCATCGAAACAAGAAGGAGGAAGTGGTTTCTGCAGGCATGCCAGGGAGGAGGAGGGCATCCTCCATGGCTGAGCCCTGTGGGAGATGGGCTGCAGGCCCCCCCAGCACCACTGTGGTTGTCTGGCCGGCCACGTGAGCCATGAAGGGGGAGCCTCTGCAAATGCTCAGGGAGGTTTCTGGTACTGCCGCAGACAGAGGCTGCCGCCCAGCATGGCAACTGCCCTGCTCATCCTCTGGACACCCTGGGACACTGCAGGAGGCCAAACACAGCAATGAGGAGCCCTCGAGAGACGACATGGTTGGCAGATGCCCATGGGTGGGGACAAGAACAGGAAAACAACCACGAAACACGAGGCCCATTTATAGTGTCCAAGTGAGCTATTGGCAGGAGTCGTGGAAATAACCGGTGAGAATTTGGGAGTCGGGGCAGGAGCTGGGAAACTCGGAAGAGTCGCGCTGGTGAGATCACATTTGTTCACACAGGCTGGCGAGTGCTGGAAAAACCCAAGTAACACACGATTTCTCTGTTCAGCCAGCAGACATTTCTGCAGTATCTACCTGGTAGTGAGGCCCCGTGCAGGTGCCGGGGTTGCTCCTGTCCCTGGAAGGTCCTACGGTAGATATATGATCCTACCCTCTCCGTAAAGCCCCTACACATCCCCCTAGCACAGGAAATCCTGGAGACGTCAAATTTAACTTTAGTGCATAAATTATTGTTGGTGCCTGGTCCTGGTGTCCACTGCCATCCTCAGTCAGTTCTTGGGGAAGTGGTATTTGGTGACATAGGGCTTGCTTCCCTACAGGTAGAGCCTGGAAGTGTGAGGCTGTCCAATGCTGGTTACTGCCCTATCCCCGTGATTTTGTAGGGGGAGGTGAGAAAATTCCATTTCAGGAAGTTCGACCAAAGGAGTGAGCATAAAATAGATGAAGACATCAAGAAAAACACATTTCTTTTGTTTGTTTAGTTCGGACTCAGAATTAAGCAGAATCCCTAGTTCAAGACACACACTCTTCACTGGTCCATGAGTGACCTGTTTCTTAATCTGTTTGATAATAAACAGTAATAATCCATCACTCAATGGGAGATCTAGAACTTGATGAAACTGACATCTTTCTAACTCAGCCCCGCCCGTGTCCCCCACCCATCACCCGATGCGTTCACCCTCCCGAACATTGGGTTGCTCATCCTCTTCCTTTTTTAAAACACAGACAATTGTAAACCTTTAAAATCATATAGGGCCTGGTAACTGCAGATACATACATCTCCAAATATAGTTAAAATATACTTTTATCACATATGTGTTCTTAAATATAAATACATATAAAGATACGTATGTATGCATGTATGCAGAGAGAGATTTTAGTTTTAGTTGTTTCTCACTTTCACTAAAAAGGGATCGTGCTATAAATAGATGTTTCTGGGACTTATTTTTTTATTTATTTATTTGAGAGAGACAGAGAGAACAGAGGGAGAGTAGGGGGGAGACCCGATGTGGGGCTCGATCTCAGGACCCTGTGATCATGACCCGAGCCAAAGGCAGCCTCTCAACAGACTGAGCCACCCAGGTGCCCCGCTGGGACTTATTTTTTACTTAATAATATATTTCTGAGGTTCATCCATTTTGCTGTGTATAGCTATATTTTATTCATTTTCACCACTTTAGAAAACTCCACTGTGCTATTACACCTCAGTTTATGGACTCATTCTCCTGTCTAGTGGGTATTTGGTTATTTCTATACTGTTGGTTTTTTCCTCTGTATTATGGAAATTTCTAGACATACGCAAAAAGAGACAGGATTGTATAAGGAGCTGCCATGCACCCATCACTGGTGTTAACAATTGTCAACACCCGGTCAGTCAATTGCATTTCATCCATACTCCCCCCGCCCCCCAGTACTGGACCATTCTGACGCAAATCTCAACTATCATCCATAACTATTTCTGGAAGTCAGTTAGAAATACAACCACTCTTCTTTCAAAATGTAACACAATCCCAATATTATACTTACACCGCGCTATTATCGTAAATCTGGTGTCCAAAATTCCCTGGTTGTCTCCTGTTCTTTCTAAGAGCAAGACGCCCCCCTCCCTCGTGCACGGCGGATGGAGGAAGTGCATAGACCGTGCAGGCAAGGTGGGGATCTCCAAACTTGTTGGCAGCTCTCTTCTGGCTGCAGTCAGCTTCTTTTCTGGGTCACGGCTGGAGCTGCCAGAACCTGAGGGTGGGGAACTCCGGGGAGCTCTGGAAGAGGGGACCCAGGAAGGAAGAGAACGAGAGCCGCATGGCGCCACAGCCTGAGCATCCAGAACAGGCAGAAGCACCCAGAGCAGCCCTCTGCTTGCATCTCAAACCTTGTGTCCACTTCGTTCACGGTCAAAGTTCCGAATTCGAGGCCAAAAGTCCTTTGCCTGCTCCTTCTCATTTCCTTCTTCTTCCTTCCGTGCTTACAGGCAAGGAAGGAAAGAGAAGAGAACGGCAGGGAAACACAAAAGTCAGGCTCGAAAACTGCCTGTAAATGTCCTTGGTCTAAACCAGTGGTCGGCGCACTTTCTCCGTACAGCGCCAGACAGCCAACAGTTCAGACTTTTTGGCACGACGCCGCCACCTTCAGAGAGCAAAGGGAGCCTTAGGTGATCCATGAACAAAACAACTGTGTGCTCACAAAACTTAATTTACAGAAACAAAGGGCAGGCTGCATTTGGCCAGAAGGCTGCAGTCCACCTTTGGCCTAAACGGTACAACTATTTTGTTCCTATGTTTTTGATTACTAAATATAGTACTCTAGGATAGTTGCTGTTCTTAGCCCTATCTTCAGATCAGAAGACTGACAGCCTGGCTAAAGGCCTCGGCTAGGATCAGAGGCACCACGTGGTAGAGAGTGAATTGAACCCGAGAAGTCTGTCTTCAAAACCCTTGAGTTTTCCCCCCTTTTTTTTAGCTGCCAATGAATTTTAATATTGTCTTAACCATATAAATTGCATAAACGCTATTCAATTTTTCCTTAACGTTACAAGTATTTCAGTCTTGCCTTCTTGTTAATTACAGCTTACAATTGACGCATAACTGTTCATCATCTGGTAATAGGTTTTGCTGAAATACTTCATACATCTAGTTATCTTCTGTTGTTGAATTAGTCTAAGATGAATTTCCAGGAGCAGCATTCCCGGGCATCTCTAGGACCAGGTAGTAGTGTGCTGGGGAAGGAGGCCTGTGGTATTTGCCAGTTTCTATGGTGTCAATACTCCCACGACGGTGGATTTTAAGCTTCTAACATGACATCACTGAACAGAGCTGGGAAGAGATGCCACACTTGGCTCTTGCAAGGAGCGAGCTGCACCCAGCACCCCCCTGGCTTGATACAAATTGCCTTTCTGCTTCCCAGTACCAAGTTATAAACGGAATTACAGGATGTGGGAGTTATCATCTGGAAATGACCTTGATATTGCCTTTTAAAACCGGATAGTGTGTGAGGGCCTGGGTATCTCAATATTATTTTAATTTATACCTCTATTACTGAAACAGATCATTTTTCCATGGTCCCCTTATGTGTGTTTCTTCCACAAATTCCCTATTCACGTTCCCCCATCCACGAGGGGTAGGATGCCTTTCTTTAAGTCCTGAATAACTCTATATGCTGTCATTATTAATTCCTTGAGCTCGCCTGACATAATTTCCCTTATGTTCTGCTTTTATTCTTTTGTCATGCAGGAATTGTAACATAATCAAGCCTGTCCACTTGTACTCTGGCGATTCTTTTATTGGTAGTGAATGCAAGAAAATCCATCCTATTTTCATCTATTCCACAAACATGTATTAAACGTTCAGTATGTGGCAGGCATGACTCCAGGTATTAGGGATACAGCCGTGACCAAAATAACATCTCTGTCCTCGTGCCATTCCCGTGGGGAAAACTGAAAATAAACAAGTACATATGTAATGGAAGGTCTGGTGGTGATAAGATCTATAACAACACAAAGCAGAGGGAGAAAAAGAGAAGGGATGGAAAGAAGTGCCATTCAGAAGTGCCTCTGGGAAGTTCACTTGAACAAAGACTTGAACTCAGGTGAAGGAGTGAGTCATGCTAATTGTTCTGTAACCTGGTTTTTTAAAATTGAATTTATTAAGTTAACTTTAAGGGATTTGGGGGAGAGAGGGGAATGGATATATGATATAAAAGAGGTTCTGATTATTTTTTTCCAACGTATATGCAATTATCCCAATACCTTGCCGTCCTCCTTATTTTCAGAAGCTTTGTTATAAAGCTGAGTCTATTTCTCAGTTCACTAAAATGTCCTAACATGTATCTTTCTCACAGTCTACTTTATTTTAATTGCTATTTTTTGGCACTTCCCTTTGAAAAAATTCACCAATTTTTGCTGATGCTCCTTCTTTCGCATTTCGGAATCCCTATTTCTAGTCTCAAAATGAAATTCCATCTTCCCCAAAAGGCAACCGACATCTTCTTTTTGTATCTATTAACACCTTCCACGGAGCAGAGCCAACATAGCTTTTTAATACATTTTTGTTAAATGATGAATGAATGAACTATAAAACTCTTTAGATGTTTTCGACTCCACCTCACTCTTCTAAATAGGTCACAAGTGTCCAAGAGCTACTCTCCCACCCACATGCACGCTTGCTCCTGTCATTCGGTTTCAGAATAAACATCACATTCATACTTCAGTCCTTTACCATAAACACAGCAGCTCGTTAAACCAACGGTGGAAGAGCAGAATCCTCACAAAGGCCAAGTCACTTCCGTAAAAAAGGATATCGTTTGTCTCTTAATCGTTTTATTGTCTTTATTTCACTTGAGTAAGATTGAAAATCTTAAAGGCCAGTCTTTAACGTGATCAAACCATGTGCTTTTCCAGTTCTGTGTTTACACCGTCTGTGCATCCATATTCCCACCAAAACCAAGCAGACCAGGGAGAAGGGGGCCAGCATGGTCCCCCAGGAGAATGTGGTAGCTGTAGGAAGAACAGAGTCACATCATGGGTGGAAGGAACATTCTCTCACTGCCAAGCAGGACAGTGCAGTGCGTGTTTATAGAGAAGACAGGAACTGGAGTTCATTTTTTCTAATAATTATGCACTGATTTTTCAGAAAGCATGCCCCTCGCATCAGATCAGGGATATTTGAGAAGGACATCTGTGGTATTAGGGAAACAAGCAAGGTAGAATGAACATCCATCAGAGAGAAAGAGCACAGAGTGGGGCGAGGTGGCAAGGGTCTCTGCTCCACCTGTTGAAGAGCGTGCAATAAGACATTATCTGTTCAAATCTCAACCAGCCAACTGGGATGTGGCCAAGGTCCAGCGTGTCCTCTTCCGAAGAGCATGCATGTCAGGAGGATGACAGAGACTGACACAGGACGAGAAAACCAACTTGAATAAAGGAGCTTTAGGGGTCAAGATTATTGCTTGGACCCAACTATTTTATATCCTACTCCTTGGCATCTGTGTGTCACGAGAATGTGGAGAGTATGAATAAAGACGTAACAAGCAAACACAAGAACATGAGTGTTCGGGGACTCACTGATGAGGAGGCCAAAGTTCCACATTTTAAAACTACTATTTATCATCATCTGGGCCTCCGGGAATCAACCCAATCTCAGACTATTTCTCCAGATGATTCTTCTACCTTAACATCCCACAAGGCTTAGAAATGGGTCAAGCTTTAATTTGCTGAGCAACCATCTGGACGCACCTCTCCATGCTGGGGACAGGCTTTTAGCTGTGCCCTCGGCCATGAGTTACGGCCAACCCAGCAAAGGACATGCCGGGAGACAGCTCATGTTATAGAAATGTTTAAGGGTTCCCAGCTCTGGGCCCAGACAAACCACAGGTTCCTTTGGGTCACAATCTGAACCCCAGAAGAGGGCTCTGCTTCCTGTGGGACCCTTCCTTTCCAAGTCCGGACAACTACTGACTCTTTCATGGGAATGACCTAAAGCATCAGCCTTTGCATATATGTCCTAGGACAGTGGTTCTGAAACTTGAATAGGAAAGGAGCCTGCCAAATTACCATCTTTGGCCTAACCCTAGAAGAATTTGGGTAGATCTGGGGTGAGCCCAGGGCTCTCTGTTTTCAACTAGTGGCCCAAGTGGGCAATGCTGGCAGTGCTCAGACCACAACTGGAGAAAAGTTGTATGTGTCATGCTCTGCCCCGAGGCTTAACCAAATCCTCAGCTTTTCAATTACAAGTACGTCTGCAGCTGCCTTCCCAGCAAACACAGAGAATGTGGAGCAATTTGTTGGATTGCTACAGACTGCCCAGAAGGCATAAGAAGACTGCAGCTGGAGATCACTTTGGCTTCTGCCTTGTCCCCTCTGGCTATCAACGGTCTCTGCGTTACCTGTGTTTCGCTGCCCCGCTCCGCACTTAAACGCTGGGAAGAAATCAGTTTGGTCCAAATGATAGCATGGGTTTCTCTTTTCTTCTTAAATGGGCACTGGGTTGATTTGACTACAGTCTTGTGCTTTATTTCCTGGGTACTGATGACTTCAACCCTAAAGCTGCCCTGAGCCCTGCGGATCTGCCAGTGCCCAGCTCCCGGAGAAGGGAGTTCCTCAATTTCGGGCTAAAGACCGCCCCACCCTCCTTGAGGTGTCAGGAGAAAACAGCTAGTCCTGCGGATCCAGGGGCAGAACCACGCGAGGACACAGGGTTTTTTGAAGTTTATCGCAGAACCATCTTATCTTTTTTCCAAAAGTCAGCTTGCTACTTAAATTTTTCCTTGAACATAATCTCCCAAAGCCAGCTCCCACCCGACAAAAAAACAAATCATAAAAAATGAGAGCTCTGCTTTGGGTGCTCCACTAACAGGAAACGGAGGACTCCCCAAGCAATCATCTGGAGAACTAGTAGCTTTGTCCGGCATCCACAGAACACTGGCCATGCTGCTTTCCCCTGGAATGTTCCCCAAATACATACCTTCTTTGACCGTGGTACGGAGCGTCTGAAAACTCAGTGTGTTACGGACAAGGCATTTAAAATCCGTGTTCAAATCCTCTCTTATGACTGGATCAAAAACCAGTGGCACTTCAATGTAGTTCTCATTGTTCTCTGAGTATTCCCTGAGTGAGAAAACATTCACTTAAACCTGATGTATCAAATGCAAGCCCATCTTTATGACGGAGACGCCCAAACGTTCTCAATGAGAAGGATCGGCTGTGCTTAAATTGGTCTCAGGATTCATAAAGTCAGGAGCACTCGCCAGGATATCGGTTCCCTATCTGGGAGAATTTCTAGGCTGAAGGTGGGAGTGACACTGAAGATGTTGGTCCCTGTAACAGGACGCTTGTCACAAGGAGAACTTAACAGGAGCCAGTTTCGTTTGGATAATGGAAAAATTCATTTTTTAAGGCCATTGATGAACAAAGAGGCAGTAGTAGGAATAGAAATATCTGCCTTGGAGATATTTGACTGTAAGGCCAATAAATCATTTGCATGCTGAGGAGGAGGGATTTTCCAGGAACCCTGGCCTCCACCGTGTTTCCGCCTCTCATCTCCATAGCCAGCTGTCATTCTGGGAACTCAAGCTCAGGGCCGAGGGCGGCAGACAGGCCAGGCCAGGGAATGTTCTAGCCAGCATTGCCACCATTTATAATATGATCATACTCTGAAGATGTTTCCCTGCTACCTAGAAGCATGAATACAAATATCACTGATGCGGATCTGCTAGGACTTTTTTTTTTTTTTTTAAATCCTTGGGAAGTTAGTCTCCTTTAAGCGTGCAGATAGTATGAGTAAGCTGACATGGGGCATGTGAGTGATGCCAAGCTTTTCCCAACAAGGACTTTGCAAGCAAGCAGTTGTGCTAACCAAATATAATTTTGATCCACTACAGTGCATCCAGAAAGACTTTTTTGAGAGGTCTTTGAAAAAAGACAAAAACTGGCAAGCAGAAGTTGAGGCTAATTCATTGTACTGGAACTTGAATTTTAAAAATCCTTGATAATTTGGAACATCGAATGGTCTCCTTTCCTCAAATACAAATGGCTCACATTTACAAGGTCTGACTGTTCTACTTTTGGGGTGAGAAAACATTTTCCAGAGATGAATGCTTATGAGAACAGAATTCTTCCTTTAACATTAACCTTCCTTAGCACCTGTGGCCACCCTCAGATACTGTGGCTTTCAGACTCTTTTGAAGGGTTTGCGAAAATGTTTGACACCCAGGTGCAGGGTGCAGCGTGGAAATGTATGAACTCCAAAGACATTTTTTTTTTTTAAACTTCAAAAGTCAAGAAACAAATATTTAAGGAAACAGCTAGAAAATGCAACATCAATGCCAAGTAGTTGACTGTAGCCCAGCTCCTGCAGGAAGTTTGATTCTCAAGAACAACTGGTAAGACAGCAAAACTCAATTTTTAAAATCCTAAAAATCTGCGGCATCTGGGTGGCTCAGTCAGTTAAGTGCCTGACTCTTGATTTCAGCTCGGGTTATGATCTCAGGGTCGTGGGATGGAGCCCTGCGTTGGGCTCTGTGCTCAGCAGAGAGTCTGCCGGAGATTCTCTCTCCCTCTTTCTCCACCCCTCTCCTGGCTCGTGCTCTCTTTCTCTCTCTCTCTAAAATGAATAAATCAATCTTTAAAAAAAATAAAATAAAATTCTAAAAATCCAACAGTTTACAATTAAAAAAATTATTTTTAACGGAGTGTGTGTGTCATACGAATAGGTCTGGTATGACATTGTCTCTAAAAGGAAGAGCAAAGCCCTCGGAAGTCCCATAAGATGCTTCTCAGCTGACAAAGATCTTCACCATCTTCACCCACTTACTGGCGCTGCTCCTCGGTCACACGGCCTCCCTGGTAGGCATTCTCTATTCTGGTGTTGTTGGCCATCCACCAGAGCATGGTGGTCGACTGTGTCCCGGCTCCCAGAAACACCTTACACGGGATCGTCAATCTTGATCCTGTGAAGGGCAAGACACCGCACATCAAACGTCAGAACCCAGCCAGGGAAAAGGGGTCACGCCAGCCCCTGTGTCCACCAGCAAATCCAAGTGGTGGACCCTTCCCCCCCTTCTCAAACACCCCTCGCCAGCCAATTCTTACCTCAGAAGGAAACTCAGTTCCCTCAAATGATTCCATTCACACAGAACACCAGTATTTATCAACTGTCTCCAGTTCCCTCAACTGGTCTTCGTGAGAGATGGAAACCCTGAAGGCACATGGCTTCCCCAAGGCCACTCAGCTCCTACAGGGCCTTCTGAGCTCATGGATGCCTTCTCCCACACTTTATTCTAAGTACCTCAAAAAGTCAGATGAACATTTGGATTCTCTCTCTTTGCCCATCGCTGGTCTCAGCCCTCGTGTTTCCCCCAGGAACCCCCCCAGTCGCACATCATGCTCTTTTGGGATTAACTCTTTAAAAAAAGCCACTGAATTTTATATGCATGGTGTCTTCTGCAATTGTTCGGTGTGATGGTACTGGGTCCTCCCCCTCAGTCACTAGAAGTTATATATTTTTTTAAATCACCAAAGGGGAGGAAAGAAAAAAAAAATGAACAAATCCTTCCCATTTGTTTCTTCCTCATGGGTGATATGCCTCCATGTGGTGGGTCTTTTAATGTATGGCCCCCCTTCAGGCTCTTCTCCCTCCCTCACCGCCTCTTACAACCTTAAGATTTCTTGGCCAAAAGCAACCCATTAAATCTGGCCTCATGTGATTCTGCCGCGCACATGAATGCCTTCAAAGCAATGGGGTGGGGAACGCAGCTCTACTCGGCTGGGGAACGCAGCTCTACTCGGCTGGGGAACGCCTGGGAGCCAGGGTACTGGAATCCCAGGCAGCACCCACCCTTGTCCCCACTTCCTCAGGTTTCCAGGTGGTTGTTCCAAGGGCCGAGGCAGCCTGTGTGAGGCAGCAATCCCAGCATCTGCACAAAAGTCCCCCTTCTCTATGGCCACCAACTAAAATTGAAAATATAAGCCCAGCACGGAACAGAAGAGAGCTGGATGTGTGGATGGGAAGGAAGGGAGGGAGGGACGGACGGAGGGAGGATTAGGCCTACAAAGCCATTATACGGAAACAAACACCAAAATGGCACAGGCTTCACGGACACACAGACCTGTCCAAAGCCCAGCCTGACTCAAGTGTGGCTTTTGACCTTCAGTGAGCCACACTGATGCCCTGAGCAGCTTTTCCTTCTACGGAAGGACCCCTACGGGGTCGGTGTTGGCACTGAGTGGCATCCCGTGAGACATGGTGACAGTCAACAGGGAAGTGGGCGCTGGCCAGGACAGCCCAAGCCACAGCCACAAACAGGGTGAAAAATGCAAAACCCTGTCAGCCACTCTCATCATCCCCCTTGACCCGCTGAGCAGCCATTTTGGCAACAAGAGACCATCTCTGTGGGGCCAGCCATGACAGGGTCAGCCTCACGTTACAAATGGACTCTTAGGGAAATGCTATGCATCAGTCAAGTTTTGGTAGAGAGACTTATTTAAAACATACTGCAGGTGCTGGCCACACAAGGGAATCATGCTGTTAATCCTCTCACACGGTTGATAACTGCCACGAGAACACTGGGATTTTTACATTTAGATTTTTGCAGGGCGGGTGTTCATGGAACAAAGTATACCTATTTTCACACAATGCCATTTCTAACATCTGACAAAAGGAAAGATGTTGTTTCTGCCTCTCACGCCGGGGTTCCAGGGTCCCACCCAGGCACACTGCACACCCCAGGGACAGGGGACCTCAGGGCTTTGGAACTGCAGGCATCCCTGTGCGTGACAGTCTTTGTAGGCCTTACCCAGTGAAGCTAATATGGTCTGGTGGGGGGAGATAATCACAGGAATTGTCTCCTCTTCTTTTTCTGAGAAGGATATGAGGAAAAGAGATTCAATTAGGGAAGCCATCATTTCAAGCTGAGACTCAAGTTCCATTGTTTAGCTAATTAACAAAGTTATCCTCTACAGTATGGCCAGCCATTGTAAGATTCGACCTTTGTCTGGCAAAGGAAACAGGCTCTCCACAAAATTGAGCATCTTTGGCCAATGCCTTTCCCAGAAGAGATATTACTGGAAGAGACCACAGTTAAAATACACATTCCACTAACAGATGTTCTTTGCTCTGTGATAAATAATTAACCATTCCCCTCCCCAGCTTCCTAAATGAATTCTTAATAGTAATGTTCACAATTCCCACAAGCTGGCTTTACCCCAACATTTAATTTACCCTAAAATCTCCCCCTCTTCTCCATTCCTGTTTCCCCAAGTGCCTGCCACAGAATTCTGCAGAGTCACTTCAAAAACATAAATAGAGACACAGGAATTTGGGAACCACCTGTTTACACTGCGAATCCCACACTCAGTGATAAAGAGCATAACCCAGCATTGGCTACTATGTCTTGTTAATGAAGAACATAAACTGCTTTGGGAGGCAGATAGAGGTGGACCTCTGAATAGGAACCCAGCTCCCCAAGAGGCAGGTCTCCCAACAGCTTGAAGAAAGTGGGCACCTGAATTGGAGCAAAAAGCATGGCTGGGGGTGGGCAAAGGGCTGCCCATCTCCACGACCACTCGCTCCATCCTTACGTCTTCCCTGCAGAGCATTTTGAAATCCTAACACGAGTAAGCATTAGGCAGCGTCACTCACAGTGGAGGGGCACATGGCTTCTGGACCAAGACGAGGAGCCTCCCCTCAATCGCCCCCCCATCAACACACATAATCACATGCCTGCCACACAGAGGCTGGGACAATGGAGAGGCAAGGGAAAAAAGCCTCAGGGGCTAAATACCTCTGTGCCTCACAAACCTGAGGGTGCATCAGCATCACGGCGGGGGGCGGCGGGGGGGAGGTGTTAAACACAGATTGCTGTGGTCCCGTTTCTAACCCAGTAGGTCTGGATGGAGACTGAGATTCTGCAAGTCTAGTGAGCACCCAAGTGCTAGACCACCCTTTGAGAAGTCCTGAGAAAACAAGTGTGATCACAAGCCGGGGTAATATGTGGGCCGGTCGCCCCCTAGTGTTCCTGTGCAGTATCACATGGCCAGGATAATTCTGAACCCTTTGAAAGTCACTGGAAGTCTCCGTGATTCCCCCGCGGGGGAACAAGGAGTTGATAGGAATGAATCCTCACAAGACTATGTAATCTAGAGATTTCAGCTCATGGGAGACACAATTTTCCCTGTGGTAAAACTGAATCTCTGGATTTTCTCTGGGAGGGGAAAAAAAGTTAAACTTCTCCCTTCATAGACCAATTATTTAACCTTAATATATTTCCAAAAGCCCTCTGAAATGCCCTAAAAAAAACTCCGAATGTGTATTCAGTATATAAAATAAAGAAAAGCAGCATACTCTCTAGGGCAGAGTCCAGGACTCAAACACTTTTCTGTTCTTGCATTAGACTTGATGTCCAGCATGCAGGCAGTAAATGCTAAGCAATTTTAAATACTCATCAACACTGTTCACATTATTTTCAAGTAGAACTCATTTAAGCCAATGAGAGCACTCACTCCTTGAAATTCTGATTTCAAGGGCCACGTGCCTTGGGGAAGCCCGAGAAAGGGGAATTTCCACTGGCTATGTCAATGCATAGCCTTCTAATTGAAAAATCCAATAAAATCTTAATATCCTAGAATTATACATAAAGTTATGATAACCATGTTCTGATGGCTGGCCCTGGAGGTGCAAGCCTTGCAAAGGGACCTTCCCAGTGAACCACTGTTTGTCCCCCTCTGCTGGTGTGTTTTAGCCACACTTGGAACCGTATCAACTACCCAGCGATTCACCTTTCCTCATAAAAACACCCCGTTTTCTATCTTTCAAAGCTTCACACACATGTCTCATTAGCCTGATGCTTTAGGCAAGTTGATAGGTCTGTTTTCCTTTCATACCAAAGACATTCAAGGAATTCCACGTGAATCCTCATTTGTTCTTTGCATGCTTGTTATTGGCAGGGTGGGGAGATCCCTCAGTGCCAAGTACTACTCACTGTTGACACGTAGTTCAATATTCCTAGTCACGTTGTACGGCATGCCTTCATGGGTGAATGTCATGGCACAAGTGTAATAACCCGCATCCTCCACAGACACATTCTGGATGATTAAGCGAGAGGTTCCCCTCACACTTAGAAACTTCTCGTTGTCTTGATCCAAAAGGACAGAATCCTTAAGGGAAAATACTTTTCAGAGTTATGCTATGTACTAATTTATATCTCAAAAGCTATATATGAATATCACCCATATTATCAATCAATGTTGAATAAGCAACCCAAGAATTGCCCTGGTATTTACTTGGCGAATGGACTTTGGACATACCACTAACCATATTTTTTAACAGAGGGAATTTGTTAACAGATAAAACGAAATTGTAGGATTTGTTTAACCACAATGTTTATAGCACATCTGTGTAAGCACAACGGGGGAAAAAAAGAAACTATCTCTTATTTGATAAACAAAGCCATTACCACCTTGGGAAACATGGAGGGAAGAGTAGTAGTATGTCATCAGGTTGACTGTAATATTCGGAAATATTCAGGGTGAAAGTAATATTCAGGAAAAATGAAGAAATGATGTTAGAGTAATGATTTTGAAAATCCTTTCAATTTTAGGAGTTTGTAAAGACAGAGGAAAATGTGTAAGAAAAAACTAAGGGTGAGGAACAAGGGCACACTTTCCATATGGACAAAAGATTCTGTGGGTTCTGCACCACAGAACTCTCAAAAGCAAGGCCTCCAATAACAGAAAACGTTGAATGGGATTCGAGTAAACATCTCAGTGAGCACAATGTGTTCTCAGGAACCTATCTTTCAAAACCATGATCAAAAGCTTGAGACAGTCAAACATAACCTCGAGTCATCTCTGAATCTTGCTCTGAATGGGAGCACAGACAAACTGGAATAGTTTGTCAGCTAGTGGCTCATAAAGTATTATTTTACAATATATTTAATTAAAAAGAGAGATTTTATTGTCCCTAACATGAGTCCCCAAACATGAAAAAAAAGCCAAACGGGGCTCAGCACCCCAGTTCTTCCAAGGCCCCCAAACCCCCCGGGCTCCCTGCATGGCAGTGGTGTGTGGAGCCTGGCCTCCCGTGCTGGAGTTCTGGCTTCCCCATCTACCAGCTGTGTGACCTTGGGCAAGTGCCTTACATTTCTGTCTCTCTGTTTCCTAACCTGTAAAATGGAGATATTAACAATCCCTACTTTGTTAGGTTATACGCCAGGGAATCTAGAGCAGAATTATACACAGTACCTGCTCAGTAATGATTAGCACTGGTATCCTCTATGTATCTTGTAGCTATAATACCAGTCAACTGGTTGACCTTTTCTTGATTAAAGGATTCATTTCTATCAAATTTTAAACAAGTAACTGTACTTTTCAGTATCAATCTATGGTCTGTCTATATCAGGGGTCTGCAAATTTTTCCTGTTAAGGGCCAGACAGTAAATATTTCAGGCCTACAGTCCATATGGCCTCTGTCCTCTGCTAAGTTTAAAGAGCTACTCAATTTGGCCCTTGCAGTATGAGACCACAGAAACAGTATGGCCATGCCCCAGTAAAACTGTATTTATGGACACTGAAATTTGAATTTTATATCCTTTTCACATATCATGAAATACTAGTCTTCTTTTAATTTTTTTTTAAGATTTTATTTATTTATTTATTTGACAGAGAGAGAGAACAGGCAGGGGGAGCAGCAGGCTTCCCGCTGAGCAGGGAGCCCACAGGGCTCGATCCCAGGACCCTGGGATCATGACCTGAGCCAAGGGTAGACGCTTAACTGACTGAGCCACCCAGGCGCCCCTAATTTTTTTTAAAGGTTTATTTATTTTAGAAAGAGGGACAGAGAGAGCAAGCGTGCACTCAGGGGAGAGGGACAGAGGGAGAGAAACTTCAAACAGACTCCCTACTGAGCACAGAGCCCAACGTGGACCTTGATCTCATGACCTGAGCCAAAACCAAGAGTCGGACGCTCAACAGACTGAGCGACCCAGGCACCCCTCTTTTAATTTTTTTTAACCATTTAAAAAAGTGAAAACTATCCTGAGCTGTCGGGCAGGTGGCAGGTCAATTTGGCCACTGGTTATAAGCTATAGTTTGCCCACACCTGCTCTACACAAGTGATCTATGATAGTATTTATTCAACCAGTCAAGAAAACAAATTGTTTATATTTACTCCTTTAGCCAGAAAGTTAATTATCATATGCTTTAAAAAGGCTTCATTAAGGGGCACCTGGGTGGCTCAGTTGGTTAAGCGACTGCCTTCAGCTCAGGTCATGATCCTGGAGTCCCGGGATCGAGTCCCGCATCAGGCTTCCTGCTCAGCGGGGAGTCTGCTTCTCCTTCTGACCCTCTTCCCTCTCATGCTTTCTATCTCTCATTCTCTTTCTCTCTCAAATAAATAAATAAAATCTTTAAAAAAATAAAATAAAAAGGCTTCATTAAAATGTATACACAGATGTTAACTACTAGTCATTTTCTCTACATTTATTTTTTTTTCCTACATTTCTATAGACAAATGACAGTGTAAAAAGCTATTTTCTTTAGCTGTCACTTACTCCGCATTCATTTTGAATTCTGGTTTCTCAAAGTTCTACGCTGAGGACCCTTACCCAAGCCACACACAGATGAATAGAACATCTTAATCACGCCCCCCCTTTTTTTTAAAGATTTTATTTATTTATTTGAGAGGGAGAGAGAATGAGAGATAGAGAGCACGAGAGGGAAGAGGGTCAGAGGGAGAAGCAGACTCCCCGCTGAGCAGGGAGCCCGATGCGGGACTCGATCCCGGGACTCCAGGATCATGACCTGAGCTGAAGGCAGTCGCTTAACCAACTGAGCCACCCAGGCGCCCCACGCCCCTTTTTAAAATAACTAGTTGAAAAAAAAAAAAAAACAGAAATATAAAAGTGAATGTGTTGCCTTCAGAATGGGTATTTTATATCTTTCCTGTAGCTAGTAAGACACATTTTAATTAAAGTAGCAATTTTTTAAAGATGTACCTTGTACCACTGAATCTTCGCGTCCATTTTGTTATGGGTGAATTCACTCAGCTCAGGGCAAACTAAGGACCCAGAGGATGACAAGGTTAGAATTTGCGGGTACGATATGAAAGGCAGGGAAGCTTCTGTCTTCTCGAAAACCCTGAGCTCAACGGACATTTCATCACAGTAAGAGGCATTTCTGAAGTCAAGGGAAAAAAGCATAATAAATGATAAGGTAAAATAACAGCAACGCTAAATGAAATTGAGAATAATTTCCCCAATCCCATTAAATTCTGGGAATCATCTATCAACTGAAGTCAAATTTCAGAAAACTGCGGAGAACTTTGGGTAAGATCTCTAAAATATTTTTGCAATACTGCACGGGGGAAATGAACTTGGCAAGTTTGTTTTTAATTTGGGGGGTTTTTTTTGGTTCACCTAACTCTAACCTCAATATCATAATTCTATCAAGACCTTAGAACTGGGGAAAGGGCGGAGACATAACACTGATAAAAACATGGGGAAAAAACAGAAAAACATAAAAATATAGTCATCTCAGCTAAGTAAGTTCCTGGCTACATAATCAACAGAAACCATGAGAATGTGCTGTACAAGGAGGGGCGGGGTGGGGTAGGGAGCGCCTGAACAGCAAAAGGTAAAACAGTCTATATCTAAAGAAGGAACAAAATGTGACAAATACACGTGAGAGAAGTAAATGACAAAAGCTTACTACCTGAAAGTAAAAAGAATTAATTCAAATAGATAAAACCAGTATCTAATGTGATATTTCATGTCTGGCTAACAAAAAGGAAAAAGCTGAACAAACATTTTAGGTACAAAGAAATGCAGAAAGCTAACTATCACCTTGAAAAGTACACAATCTCACTATAAGTCAAAGAAAGGCAAATAAGGACAAGTCTAAAGAACGGCGCATACCTGAAAAGAGTCATTGTACCAGCAGGAAGAGGCCTGTACTAGGCGCTCTATATATGTTATTTTATTTATTCTCCAACCCTACAAGGTAGGAATTATTATTACAACATTTTTAGATGAGGAAAATTAGGTATGCAGAAATGAAGTCATTTCCTAAGGCTGTAGAGCTACTAAGAGGTCAAACCAAAGTTAGAAGCCAAGGAAGGCTCTGGGAAAACCCGTAAATTCAGGCAATATCTCCGGAAACCAAACTTACTACACATATCAAGAGTTCCAAACCTGTTCATATTATTGATGTGGTAATTCCCCGTGGGCAAGACAGTCCGCGAAAATAACTCAAAAGACTGATGGGTGGGGAATAACTTGATCACCACTCACATTCTCCGTGTGGTGTGGCATCCCCACATGGTGGGGTGGTGGTAATTAGTGCTGTTCACCGAGTATGTCCAGTTCCCCCACTCTGAGCAAACGGTGGAATTACACATCGTGGCCCCACTGTGGGTGGGTGCAGTTATAGGACTTTTTCTAGTCCATGGGATGTATGTGTGTCTCTTGTACACAAAGTTTCAATAGCCAAGCGAGACACTCTAGAACATGTCTCCTTCTGGTACGACAACCAACAACATTTGAGATAATGTCTGCTCCTTCAGTCTGGGTTCCTGATTGTCTGCCAAACCATCATGGGCTTGTAGGCTTGTTGCATGTGTGATAAATAAACCTTTGTGGTTTTAAGCCACTGAGATTTGGGGGCTGTTTGATTTAGCAGCATAACCTGCCCACCCTGGTTGATAGTGGGTTCTAGGTCAGAAGACTATAAAAATCACAGGAACATGGCTGTGTTAATACCTGCCAAAGGGTATTAGGGCAACCATTGGTGATTCTCACTCTGCTGGAACCCCAATCTTAGAGCTGGAAGAGAGTTCTAAAGACCAGCCAGGGAGACTCTCTCACATGCTAAAAAACCTTGACCCTGGGATTTCTTCTGCCACCCTCAATCTCAGATCTCTCTTTTTCTACAAGAACAGAAAATAAAGGGGTGCCTGTGTGGCTCAGTCGGTTGATTGACTCTTAATTTCGGCTCAAGTCATGATCACAGGGTGGTGAGATCGAGCCCCGCATGAGGCTCTGCACTCAGCCGTGTGTCTGCTCAAGATTCTCTTTCTCTCCCCCTCCTTCTGCCCACCCCCCTCTAAAATAAATAAATAAATCTTTTTTTAAAAAAAGAATAGAAAATAAAATAAAGGTAATATTTTTTAATCGAGTATAAAAACAAACTTTAAGACAAACATGACTCAGCTCACATCTCCCTGATTTTTGCATATTATCACTTCCGTAATCAATAAGTATTGCCTTTGGGAAAGAAAAGGCATTTTGATGTATATATGGACCATCTTCTATGGTGCTCCCCATAACTAGATGCTTCGCATGCTGTGATTTCAAAGGACTCTCCCAACAAACCCCTTTACCAGAGGAGAAAACTGAGATCCATAAATGCCAAGTAAGAAGACCAAGGTCCTACTGGCTAGAAAATGAGGGGGCTAGGATTTACACTCATACCATTCCAACTCTGAATTCCATTCTTTTTCTACCACACTATTAAGTTTTCCCAGTAGTGCTCCTTAGGAAAACATTAGAATTTTCTCTACTAAAAGGAAAGAAAAACTATGCATTTTTAGCTATTGTAAAATCAGATATCCACATTGCCCTGATATGGAAATAAGAGACTGCCTACCTATTTCTTAGGCAGGGTTCACTGACAGGACGGAACACACTCACCCATCCACCCCCATACACACCACACACACACACACACACACACACATACACACACACCATCTAGGACTGGGGCTGATATTGTCTGAAATTCTCCCATTCACTAGTAATTCCCTTGTGCTATGAATGCGCTTTCTTTGGTTCTCTTTCTAAATGAAAGTACTCGTAGGTACGGTTTCTCCTTAAATCAAGCAGGTTTATGAAATGTGCTGAGACTCTCAAGCTAGCTGGTAGAAGGAGTGGGCAGAGCCTGGGGGGAAGATACAGGCAGCAGCTGAAGAGAGAAGACCAGGAACACTACTTCCCAGTCTGCCTTAATCCTTTCAGGAGAATTTAGCTAGGCAAGGTTTAAAATCACCAACACTAGGGCGCCTGGGTGGCTCAGTTGGTTAAGCGACTGCCTTCGGCTCAGGTCATGATCCTGGAGTCCCGGGATCGAGTCCCACATAGGGCTTCCTGCTCAGCAGGGAGTCTGCTTCTCCCTCTGACCCTCTTCCCTCTCGTGCTTTCTATCTCTCATTCTCTCTCTTTCTCAAATAAATAAATAAAATCTTTAAAAATAAATAAATAAATAAAATAAAATCACCAACACTAACTACACCTACAGCTTTCTCCTGCATGAAGCAGCAAGCTTTGCCAAGACCACTGAATGGGGAATGGACAGTCTTTTCAATAAAAGATGTTAGGAAAACTGGATAGCCACTTGCAAAAGAATGAAGTCAGACCATTACCTTATGCAATGTATAAACTTTAACTCAAAATGGATCAAAGACCTAAACATAAGAGCTAAAACTATAAAAATTCTTAGACGAAAACACAGGGTAAATCTTTACATTAGATACAGCAATGATTTCTTAGATAGGATATCAAAAACATAGGCCACCAAAGAAAAAACAGAATTGAACTTTATCAAAATTAAAAACCTTTTTGCATCAAAGAACATTATCAAAAGAGTAAAAAGGCAACCCATGGCATGGGAGAAAATAATTGTAAATCATATATGTGGGAAGGGATTGAGAGCCAGAATATATAAAGAATTCCTACAATTCAAAAACAAATAACTTGATTAAAGAATGGATAAAGATGTGATACACACACACACACACACACACACAGGAATATGACTCAGCCATAAAAAAGAATGAAATCTTGCCATTTGCAACAACATGGATGGATCTAGATGGAATAACGCTAAGTGAAATAAATCAGTCAGACAAAGACAAATACCGTATGATTTCACTCACAGGTAGAATCTAAGAGCAAAACAGATGAACAAAGAACAAAAGAGACAAACAAACAAAAAGATTCTTAAATACGGAGAACAAACTAGTGGTTGCCAGAGATGGGTGGTGGGATGGGAGAAATAGATGAAGGGGATTAAAAGTATACTCAGTGATGAGCACTGAGAAACGTACAGAACTGCTCAATCATTATACTCTGTACCTGAAACTAACATAACACTGCATGTTAATTATATTTCAGTTTTTAAAAGAAATGTAAAATAATAAGACAACAAAAACATTTTAAAGTTACAAATGGGCAAAGGACTTGAATAGACTTCCGGCCAATAAAGGACATGGAAAGATGCTCAGCATTACTAATCATTAGGGAAATGCAAATCAAAAGCATAATAATCTATCACTTCATGCCCAGTAGGATGGCTATTATCCCTCTCCAAGAAAAACCCAGAAAATAGTAAGTGTTGGTAAAGATGTGGAGACGCTAGAACCCGTGTGCACTGCCGGTGCACTGTCGGTGGGAATGTAAAAATGGAGCAGCTACTCTGGCAAACAATATGATGGTTCCTCAAAAAATTAAACATAGAATGACCAATTGTCTCCTGAGTTTGCACCCAAAACAAGTAAAAGGACTCAAAGAGATCTCTGTACACCTATGATCAGAGCAGCATTACTCACAATAGCCAAAAGGCAGGTAGAATGTCCACTGACAGATAAACGGGTAACCAAAGTATGGTATATTTATGCAATGGAATATTACTGAGTCTTAAAAAGGAAGGGAATTCAGACGCATGCTGCAGTATGCATGACCCTTGAAGACACTGTGCTCAGTGAGAGAAGCCAGTCACCAAAGGACAAATACTGCCTGACTCCACTCCTATGAGGTATTTAGAGCAGTCAAATTCACAGAGACAGACAATAGATGGGGGCTGCCAGGAGGGGAGCCCCCATATGGGGAGGGGGAGAGAGGAGTTCGTGGTTAACTTCACGGGCACAGAGCTGCAGTGTGAGAAGATGAAGAGTTTTGGAGACGGACGGTGGTGATGGTTGCACAACAATGTGAATGTGCTTAACACACGGAATTGTACGTACAAAAAGGGATAAGATGATAACTCTGATGTTATGCATATGTTACCACAATTAAAAATAAAAAAAGCAACAGGACAAAGAGGAAGGGGGCTACACCCCACATCAGGGGCTGTGGGTTCCAGTCTCAGCCCCACACCTACCACCTGGGAACACTTTACAAGTGAGCTCGGTCCCCTCACACGTACGATAAGCAGTTGGATGAACTCATTCCTAAAGTCTCATCCAGTGTTCTACATCGATTTCTTCTGTCCATGTGGACGCAGGCATGAACAAAATGGATCAAGTCCCTGTCGACCTAGAGTTTACATTCTAAAGGGGTAGACAACATTAAATATGTAAACACATGAGTGTGTCAGGTGAGGAAAAATACCAGCAGGGGAAAGAGAGAGTGTGTCAGGAGTACTGGTTTAGGTAAAGTAGCTAGGGAAGTCCTCTCCAAAGAGGTGACGTTTGAGCAAAGACTTCAATGAAGGGAGAGAAAGAGCCATGAAGGCATCTGGGGAAGGCTCTCGGGTAGGAGGTATTCAGGAACAGTGAAGAGGACTAAAGGTAGCTTCTCACCTATGCACTGGATTTTGAAATCCAGGTTATCACACAAAAACCGTGCAGAAGCCCTTCTGGAAGGAGACCCATTCCTACCCTAGTCCCGGGGTGTTGTGGGGGCTTACCTGTTAGTGCAGATGTAGGTGCCTGAGTCCTCCTGCAAGGCTGGCAAGATCCAGAGAGCACCATCCTGGATCCACATTCGCGTCTCTTCTTCCCCGGGGAGCTTTCTAGTAGAATCGTTTTTATGCCACGTCACGTTGACATAGGGGCTGACAGACGCCCACAACCAGAGCTGCGCCTGGGGGCACCTCAGGACCACAGGCTCCCCTTCTACCCTGAAGTCGGTTTTGAAATGCTTGCCAAGAAATTTGCAGTTTTCGGCAGCCACTAAAGGACAGGGAGACCACAGTCAAGCTTTGGGTCCAAAACCTCCTCTGATGGGCACATCTGAAGAAGCCAAGTGCCCCTAACAAGTGACCTGCACCCTGGGGTTATAATGACTTCAAAACTCCCAAAAACAACTTCAGGGCTTCTGTCCATTCCAATTTAAATTTTTTGGGAAAAGTTAAATCCGGTTCACAGGATGACAAAAAATGATTAAAAAGTTGGGTCATATTCTTCACTTGTTGACTCCTTAACATTAAAAGCAGATCTTGGCTGAGTTCAGACAGAAAAAGAGCTTAGTTGTGACAAGACATGTGGTTAAAATCTAAAAGCATCTTTTATTGAGGGCAAAAGCACCACTTCCTTGACTCACTCTTTGGCAGGAATGACTGATGCCCAGAGCAAGCTCCGTGCAAAAGAGGAGATGGTTAGGAGGAAGGATCTGCCCCACCTCGCTCTTTGAAAACAACCAACTTTACTAGATACACAACTACTTTCCCCAGAGAAGCTGCATGCAAGCTCTCTTCAGCTGATAGACTCATTTTTTTTAAAGACTGTATTTATTCATTTGAGACACAGAGATACAGAGAGAGAGAGAGTATGAGCCGGGGGAGAGGCCGAGGGAGAGGGAGAAGCAGGCTCCCTGCTGAGCCAGGAGCCCAGTGTGGGGCTCCATCCCAGGGCCCCAAGATCATGACCTGAGCCGAAGGCAGACGCTTAACCATCTGTGCACCCCAAGACTCACTTCTTACCTGTGTGTTCCTCAGGCGGAATGGTGAAGGCTGAAACACTCATTACCAACATGTAAAAGATGAACATTTTTTCTGGCAACTTCTGGAGGACACAGGAGGTGGAGATCTCAGGTCCAGCACTCCGCAGCCTATAGGAGGAGACAGAGGGGTCACCAGGAGCCACACACAGCCAGAGAGAGAACACCTTGAAGATGGTCCCAGAAGCAGGTTCTAGAGGCTTCCCATGATGATGGAAACTTTTTGCCTAGACTTTAGACTTTTTAACAAGAAAAATGCCGAAGTTTTGGAGTTGCTCCTCAATAGCTATATTCACTGAGCACACCTAATATCAAATCCCCAGAGTACTTACAAGGTGTCTTGGAATAGGTGTTCCATATTCTAAGTGTCTCTCCTGAAGTGTGCCTTAGCATGCCCTGCCCTGTGCTGAGATGCTCTTTCCTCAGCTCTGGCCACTGCTTAGGTTCTCTCCTCCTTCAGGTCTCTACTCAAGCATCACTCGTGGTGAGGTCTTCCCTGACATTCCTGTGTAAAACTGCACCACCCTTCTGCCTCAATGCTCCACATTTTTCTTTCCTACGCTATTGCTCTCTATGGCATTCATCATCAACCGTGTCTCCTCCCTCTGGAATGCCAGCTCATGGGCTCAAAGATCCTACTTTATTTTACTCACAGCTATATCCCTAACTTCTATTTGTTGAATGAATGAATGAGTGAATTAATCACTAGAAGTCAAAAGGTCCTCATATTTCACTTGTTGGAGAACTTTTCCTATTGTTTTTATGGATTAGCTCTTACTTTACATACAATTCCGACATACACTGTTGGATTATATGTATTATATATACCACTAATTCTCTGGTCTAGAGCATGCTGGTGGGGAGGGGAGAGAAATAAGGTCCAAATAGTGAATAAGTTACACAAGTTCATGAAGCACTCCTGGCCACATACCTCCCCGAGACCAGAGCACCAGGTGCCTCTGTATCTCCCTGCAGTTCTCACACCATATCGTAATTACCTGTTGTATTAGCTCCCCAGTGTCCCAACAATACTGCCAGCAATCCACCTCAACACTCAACACTGAAATGCGTCAAACAATCGCCAAGGCGATCATGCCAATGGTGTAAAACCATTCTGGCTCACAAGTCTGTGGATCTGACCTTGATCAGGCTGGGTTAGGCTTGGCTCCAGGCTTTGGGTGGGATCTAAGTCGGCTCCATGTGTCTCTCATCCTCCCTGGACCTATGACTGCCTGGGAGATGATCCTCTCCTGCGATGGTAAAAACTCAAGCAATGTGGGCAAGAGCACTCAAGGCCTTGCCCAGAACTAGCTCACTCCCGTCTGCCCCACATTCCACTGGCCAAAGCAAGTCACGTGGCCAGAGCCGCCATCAGTAGGGTGGGGAAATTACCCCCACCTGCAGTGGGAGGAGTTCCAAGTTCCCTCCGGAGGGGAAACACGTGGGAGCAACCAAGACACCTACCATGACTGTTTCTTCTCTGGCTCCCCATGGGTGGGGACAGTCTTGAGAAGAGAGGCCTGGTCTTGTTCATAGCCCTCAAGGCCTACAAGATACCCAGTCCCGGAAAATACCAAGGAATATTTATGATCAGAAACCTAGCAGGGAATTGGAAGTGATGAGTGAGTCCAGGAAAAAAAAAAATTCCCTCCCACCACCCCTCCCCCATTTCCTTAAAGTTTAACTTATTCCCTGTTCTTGGAACAGATACTATTCTGTCTCACAGTAAACCCAGATGGCCGTTAAGTGGCCAGGGCAGGGTTGGCAAACTGAGGAAGTAGTCCTTGCATGCTAGAAGCCCTTGCTCATCAGAAGGCATGAGCTCAGAGTTGCAGTCTGAACTCCCCCTCTGGTGATGAGGAGCCGGAGCGGGTAGTGAATGACCTGAGATTTTCCCCTTAGCTGGGTGTCTGCCCCAGGGCTGTTTCCCCTAAACTCTTCCTGCTTCTGCATGTCCTATCCTTCACATGTTTCTGAAACACAAATATATCCTGTAACTTGAACCACTAACCCCAGCCTCAGGTTAACCAGGCCACTTGATTAGCATAAACGTCACATCGACATTGACCAAGTTGCTTTGTCCTCTGCACCCACATTAGCGTCTCACGTCCCCAACTGTACTGGTCCCAGCCAGACTCACTGGTTCTCTAGAAAGTATATGAAAGAATTTGGAATCAAATACACATGTATAACCAATACCACATATCCGAATAAGTGAATGAAGTCAAAGATGGTTACACAGGCACACATGTAACAGTGACAGCTACTGAGCTGAATACTGAGCATCTATTCTCTCATTTTACCCCCATGATGTGAATATCATGCCAATCTGACAGAGAATTGAAGTTTAAACCCAAGACTACTGATTCCAAAGCCCTTACTCTTCAAAAATATAGTTTCTATGACAGATGCTGCTAGTTTCCTCCTCTAATATCCACCCTGGATATGAGAGGACGGATTGTAGAAGCCCTGACTCAACGAAGCATATCACTAGCCCACACAAAGACTACATTTCCCAGCCCCCTTTGCAACTAGAAGTGGCCACGTGACAGAATTTAGGCCAATAAAACGTAGGTGGAAAACTAGGCTCCTCCTGGGAAGTTGACTTAAAAGTCTCCTCAAAAGACTTCAAAGTCTCCACTGGTCTTCCTTTCTGCTGGCTCAGTATGGATGTGGTGGGTGGATTGCAGGCACCATGTTGGGCCACAAGGCACAGGCCACTTGCTGACAGTGCTGGGGCGACAAGACAGGAGCATGAGTCCTCGGTGGCTTGGCTCCGTGGAATTGCTCTCCCACCCTAGACTATCTTTTTTTTTTTTTTTTTTACATGTTTAGGCTTCCTGCGATACACAGCCAAACCTAATCCCAATACGCAAACTTTCCAAAGTTTATGAAAAGCACCCCAGGGAAGGAGCCCTGCCAGGTAGGGCTGTCACCAGTCTGCTTTCTGATACTCAACAGTTTCAAGCAGTTCTGAAGATTGACGCTAAGAAGTCATTTCAACTCAAAGGCAGGGGGAGCTGAGCAGCCTCCCTTCAGAGGGGAGCACCCCGCAAGACAGGTGCAGGCTTAGCCTTGAATTGTGTGGTTTGTAACCAAGTTTAAAATTATTTTGACACCAGGGCGCCTGGGTGGCTCAGATGGTTAAGCGTCTGCCTTCGGCTCAGGTCATGATCCCAGGGTCCTGGGATCGAGTTCCGCATCGGGCTCCCTGCTCCTTGGGAGCCTGCTTCTCCCTCTGCTTCTCTCTCTCTCTCTCTCTCTCCCTCTCTCTCTCCCCCTCTGTCTCTCATGAATAAATAAATAAAATCTTTAAAAAAAAAAAAAATTATTTTGACACCAGAAAGTCAGGCTGTGTCCATGCAGGGGTGGTGGTTAGCTGAGGCTTCACAGAGCTACAGAGCAGAAGGGGTCCTAGAGAAATGTAAGCCCCTCACTTTCTTTTTCAGGTGTTGAAAGCGCCTTGGACATTAACGCTTTTCTCAAAATGGCACATGTGGTCAGGGTGAGAAGTAGAGATGTTTCAACAAGGACCCTGTTCCAGCGGAACGAAATCCTAAAATGTCCTCCTCAAGCAACAGCCATTCCCTACCCCCTCTTGGCCCTCCTCCAACCCCCCCACCCCGGGGACACCTACAGCCAAGGGAATTGTGTTGGTTTCCCTCTGAGGACTTTGGCAAAATAGCTGCTTCACTGTGACCTCTTCAGGAAGTGGCTTCAGGCAATTAAACCACAGACACAGATCATTTTCAATCATCAAAACCCCAGGAAAAGGTCAGAACCAAAATTGCCATAGTGTGGGAAGTACTAAGTCTTTGGCAGGCCCTAAGGAAAGAGAATTTGTTCTGCCGAGGCTTGGAGCAAAACTTGCCTCTCCTGCCCTACTTTCTTTCGATGTATCTTTAAATTACAGACAATTTGAATTTCTGCTTGAATCTGAGTTGACCTCCTTACTGGAAGAAAGAAATTTTAAAGGCAGCTGGTTCCAAGAATTTGAGTGACTTTTTTTTTTTTTTTTTTTGTCACACAACCATGTTTTACTACACCCAGTGTTTGAAAACCAAGGAATGAGAAGAAAAGCAGGTCCAGGCATAAAGAAAGGACCAACAATGTGTGAAGAGTTCGAGAAGGAGAAAGAACACAGTAAGGTGGAAAGACCTGTTAGCACCACACTGAGCCCAGCTCTCCGGGCTCAGCCTCCTGATCACAGATGGGACACAGAGCCTAAGAGTATCTAGCTGTTTGCTTCACCTTCTCATTTAAATCTGAAAAGTTCCAACAGACTAGGAAGGTGAGAGAATGGTAAAACACCAGTATGTATTTCACCTCGATTCACCAATTATTAACATTTTGCTTTATTCCCTTTCTCTGTCTCTCCCTCTCTGTCCTCTCTCTCTCTATATATATATATATATCTACACACACACTCATATACATATATATATACACACCTACATATTTTTATATATACGCATACATATTTTTCCCCTGAACACAGGAAAGTTGCAGACATCCTCACACTTCACCCTAAAGACTTTAGAATTCATGGAGGAACACATTTTTAGCAGACTGAAAACAAATTAGTAAGTAAATGACAGAATCATAGTTCCAGAAATAAATCTTCAGGCATTTAAAGTCATTCAACATCTTACTCTATAGTCTACTTTAATATATCTCTTAATCCACTACGATTAAACTTTATTTCTATTGTCACCTTGTTACCGGATGTTTGTAGGCAACTGTCCATCTCTGAGTCAGGAGATACAGTCATCCAAGAAAGCCAAACAAAGGTGATAGATCTTGAATATTAATGAAGTCAAATAGTTATCAGGCCTGACGCATACCATTTGTCAACTCCCGTTTGTAAAATAAATCCCTAAAAACCAATACATGTTGTGGCAGGCGTGTGTTATAAAACCTTTTGACACCCATGGGAAAATAAATATTTGCATCAAAGTGAAGCTTGGAAATTTTTTAAAATTCAAAGCAGAAGCAAAATAAGAATTATTGGGAACTCAATCTCTGGAAAGCACAAGACATGAAGAGTTTG